CTGGGTCATTAATTCTATCTGAGTTGAAACTCTACTTTCAGTTCCAAGTCAGAACGGAATTCAAAGAACTCTGAAGATGGAAGATGCTGCTTTAAGACAGGGTCTAGTTATGTAGCCAAGGCTGGACTCAAATGGGGTTATGTTTTAGCCTGTTAGTTTTTTCCCCTTCCTTGTTTCAACTCCAAGAAACCTGGGGGAAAAGGGAATACATTTAGATAGCCTAAAATCCATATTGCATCCAAATACTTGTTCATTAATGAGGCATGCTGAATTCTCCTAGAAACTGGGCCAGCCTCCCATGGCACAGTCCTGTGTTCAACATGAACACAGATCAGGTTTAACCCATCTCTTCTGATCTTTTAGCTGCACCCCCACATCCTGCAGAAGTATACCTAATCTTCTTGCTGTTAGAATTTCCTTTCTCTCTCTGTGTCAAAATGGTTCGAGCCCAGACAGTACTTTCAGCCAGTCAAATCACGAGAAATATCACACCCTGACCATATCAAAATGGTGGGGATGTGTGCTTTGACTTAGTTCAACCCACCTCTGGTCAGGGGTTTCTCTTCAACTCTCTTTCTTCCTGTTCTGGTAAGTATTGGGTGATACTGATAAATCTGCCTAGGGATGAGATTTCAGCCTCCATTTAGACTCTTAAAGTTCATTTGGATGCTATTGAAGCCTTAGTCACTTAACATGGAATGAAAAGGGGAAGAAAGAAAAAGACAGCACTCACTAGGAAATTAAGATCTGGCTTCAGGGGTACAGAGGAAGAACACAAGTTTGAGGGCAGCCTGGGCTACATACATTTGTGAGACTTGTCTTAAAAAGAGTCAGTAGCTGGAGATGTAGTTGAGGGGTAGAGTGCTTTGATTCTTAGGGCATGAGTGTACACACACACACACACACACACACACACACACACACACACACACACACACACACACGAGGAAGCAGACAGAAGAGGAGGCAGCCACAGCAGCAACATGGTTTCATTGAGTGATACTTGCAAGGATTTCCTTCTTAAGGGCTGTGCTTGAGTGTGAAGTTAGAGATGACTATCGAAGATCCATTTTTCACAACTTTGACCATGGCTGAAGGAGCAGATTTCTCATCAAATATTAGTAGTTACTTAGAAGATGAGATACTTGATGCTATTTGCTCCCCACTTTGGACTTAGCATCCTATACTGGCGGCAACATCCTCTATTAATGTTACACCTATTATACAGGTGGCAGCTTTCTCAATCAGTGTCACATTCATACAAACAGTAACTTATCTATTCCAGAGTTGAATACTCCTACACAGGTGGTAGCTTTATCTATTTACAGTGACACACATTCTAATATAGATAACTTTATTGTAGTCTCATGTTCTTATATAGATAATTCTATAATAGTGTTCCACATTCTTCTGGATTCTCAAATACTAAGACAACTGTACTAACTATATGATCTTCCCAAATGAATTCCAGTTTATCCCTCCTTTATATATTTATATAAATTTTTAGAGCTACCTCTTGACATTCTGCCTCCAATTATAGTTGGGGATATAAAGATCTTTCTAGCTTCTCTGATCTCATTCACTCAATTACTTATTCATGACAGATATTTAAACAAATGCTGTAAATAAATAGTTAATAAAACTCTTGAAGTAATCATCTGGTAGGGGAGATGGTTAATTAACGAGACATTGAACATTAAACAGATACATACGCAAGTAAGAAGTATTGTGGGAGAAACAGTAAATAAAGAAGCTGTGGGTACTGTGTAGGTGAAGAAGAGTAGGGATACTTAAATAACATACCGAGATCTTTTTGACACATGGGAGTTGAGGGGGCAGGCTTAAGAACAGGGACAGCAGCAAGCAGGCACAGGCTCACAGCATCGCCTCTGTCAAAGCCTGAAAGTGGGTGGTGATTAGCAATGAACTGAAAAGATGTTTCTGGAATGTCACAGGAGCAAATGGCAGGCCATGAGGTTGGAGGGCAGGCACGAGCATTCTGGCGATGATTAAGCACTCAGACGAACTGCAAATAGTAGTCTTATAAGGAATATGGTATGGTTTCTCTTACTTTTTAAAGACAGGTCCTGCTGGGTATCCTAGGTTAGCCTTGAACTCACCACCCTCCTGTCTTGGCCACCCCGGTGCTAGGATTACAAGTATGTACCTAAGGTCTGGTGTCCTAGTGGAAGAAGAGGCAGAAAGATTGTAAGAAACAGAGGAACAGGAAGTTTGCCATGCCAGTTTTCTAGAAGCTACATCTGTGAAGTCATAACAATATGGCTGCCTAAACAAGACCCTAACAAAGAAGACATCAATAGACATGCTAACATGAAAGGGGAAATCTCATGGGGCCTCTACCCTTGACAAAAACTATAGTCAACTAAGGAATACCAAAATCGGGGGGAAAGTCTTCCCCAGAGAAGAGTCCCTCAGCTCGTTATCCAATATCAAGTGTCTAGCCCTGAAATCATATCCATACAGGTAACAGTATACAAACTAAGCAGGCTGTATTTATATATTTAGAAATGTACACACATACACAAATTAGAGAAATAGAGGCCATGAGTTTGAGAGAGAGCAACGTGTGGTTCATGGGAAGGACTGGAGGGAGGAAAGGAAAGGGGGTAAGATGGTGTAATTAAATTTTAATTTCAAAAACATTTGAAGTGGCCAATACTTGACATGGAATTTACATAGCAGGCAGTGTTAATATACAGCTGCCTCCAATTGTCCTATGAGCTGAGACTATTATCCTCATTCTACAGATGACGAACTTCATGGGGAAGTCACCCGAAAAGCCATCGGAAACACTCAGTTTAAACGACAGCAAGGGCAAGGCACCTGGGTTTACAGGACACACAACTAACACACGTGGTGCTTAAGCAGGGAGTTTAGAACTGGGAACCTAGATTTAGAATTTATGAAACTATGAGGCCAAGTTTTTGTTTGATGAAAACAAAGAATGTTAAAGTTGGATAAAAAAAAGGTTTTTTCCCCACTCCCTGGAGAGAATATGGGGGAAAGTTGTAAACTGAGCCGTGGGAAATACTCAAACAGTGGCAGAGGACTGAGCAGAAAAATCAAGGGATATCAACAGGTGTTGGTAAATAATTAAACACAGAAGGTGAGGAGGAGGAGTCACAGGTGTAAGAGGACAATGAAATCATTAAAAGGGGCAAAGACCATTTTGAAGATATGTACTAGAGAAGACTGGGATATAAAAAGGTACTGTTTCTAGACTAAACTGAAACATTCAACCTAGCATTCAGGTGCTCTCGTCTGGCTGCAACCTAGTACTTCATCAGCATTATTAACCTTACTTCCTTTTTTTTTTTTTTTTGACTACCCACCAGTGATCAAGACACTGACTTGTCTGTGGCAAAAAAGCTCTCATTGGTTTAAGCAATAAAGCAAACACAATCAGGAATGTATTGATTACTTTAACTGAAACTTCCTGAGGAATGTAGCCCCCAAAGTCAGACTACACTTAGTGAAGCATCAGCTACACTTCCCCCTTTGAATCCGCCTCCTTTTTCATCAGTCACACATGGAAAGGCTTTATTCTTCCAGATTCAAGTCCATTGGAAAGCAGTCCTTCTTGGTAGTAACTGCCAGGCTGAGAGAGAATTCAAGTTTTCCTCCTTGGAGTGTCCTGCCTGGACCACAGGGACTGAATGGAGAAGTGGTTAATTCTTCAACTAAAACGATCCAGAGCAGGAGCTGGATTCGGAACAGCAGAAAAGTTCAGTAAGAGCCTTTCGATGACAAAGTGAACAAAACAGGCACCAAGGAAAAGTTCTCGGTACAGGGTCTGGCTACGAAGCCCAGATTAGCCGGGAATTTGAGGATTCTCCTTTTTCAGCGTTCACACTGCTTGGGGGAGTACGCACCTAAATTCTCCGGTTTTGAAGTTCTCTTATTCTGTGCATACTCTGAGAATTTAATTCTTACTGAGGTGGACATAACCCTGGAGGGAGGATTTTGGAGCTAAAGAGTGCAGGTTTACTTATTGCTTTGTTTCATGTCCAAGTTGATCTTTAAAAGAAATTACTAGGAAGGGTCTAAAGGCTTTTCCCCCAATAATTCGGGTGCAGTGGCCACGAAACCAGTGTAATCTATGGTCCCGGTTCATCCCTGGAGCCACCCTCATCTTTACGGTATCTCTTGCCTTTTCATAAAAGGAGCAAACACATTCCGACCTTTTGCAGCCGAGGTCACTTGGTTTGCCCATGCCCACCTCCAGCGAGCGGCCGGGAAACCGAGTCCCCGGCAGTCCACGCAGCTCCAGGAGAGGAAGCCGACCAGTTCCAAGTCGGGTTGGAGAAGTTTTTAACTTGGCGTCACAGGCCAAGAGTGTACACAGGCCCTTGTCGGGCCAGAAGGCTCCCACAGGCTGGGAGCGCCGCATCCCGGGGAGCCGCGAGCCGCCCAAACCGCTGCGGGCGGCCGCACCCTCCGCTAGGCCCCGCCTCCCGGCCTGCGCGGGGAAAGGGGACCCCGGGGCATCCCGCTTCCCTCTGCGGCCGCGGAGCGAGCACGCGCCGGCCCGCAGGAGTGGTGTTTCCTCGGGATCCCCGGGAGCAGCTCGGCGCGGATCGGGGCTGCCTAACGGGGAAAGTCGCATGCGCGCCCGGACGCGCCGGGGCAGGCGGCCGCGAGGGGAGGGGCGAGTGCAGAGCCCGGCCGGCCGCGGAGCCCCGCGTCCACGACGCATGCGCCGGGAGGGAGCGCAATCACGGACTCGGCTGGCGGCTACCGGCTGGAGAGAGGAAACCCCGGCCGGCGAGAGCGCGAAGGAAATCTGGCCGCCGGCGCGCGCGCGCTCCCGGTGAGTGCGCCCCACGGGGTGGGCCCCGGTCGGACGCGCGGCGGGCGGCTGGCCTCGGCGGCGCATGCGTGCTTCCGGAGCCGGTGGAGGAGGGGAAGGCCGGGAGGGGGGAGGAGCGCAGCGGTAGCGGTGAATTTGGAGGGGTGGGTTGGGGGCGCACACCGGCCGCCCCAGGTGCTGCTGATTCCCGGAGCCGAGGCGTTTCCCGGGTCGTGGCGGCCTGGCAGTCGCGAGTCCCCGCGGCCAGAGTCTCGGGTGGGGGTGGGAAGAAGCCGGAGCCTCCGGCGGCCGCACGGTGAGGACACGGGCGGGCGGGCGCGGGGGCGCTGTGTGGGGTCGGGGGTGGGGGCGGCTGCGGCCGGGCTGGGAGGCGGGAGCAGCGGCCGGGGTGGGGCGGCTAGCAGAGCGCGGAGCCCCCGGGAGTCGCACTCCGCCGGGCCTGTGGGAAGTGTCGGCGGGTCGCCGGGGTTACCTGCGGGGCAGGGGGGGCGCGGCGGGTCCTGCGACCCGGGAGGCGCCGGGGCCGCAGCGCGCTCGAGCCTGGGCGCGGGGGCAGGCCGTGTCGGCCGGCGAGAGGGCTCGCGCCCGGGACCCGCTAGGCCTTGTGACCCACTTTATTCCTGTCACCACTCGGGCACGTTTGGAGCGGCGCCCAATGGGGCGATGGGGCGGCCAGCTCCTCCGCCGAGCTCCCGCCCTCGCGGCGGCCAGCGCGCGCCGCGCTCCGAGGTCCGAGCGGCCGCCGCTGCCGCCCAGGGCTGGTTCCGTTAGTGGTCGTGGTTCCGGGGCTTGGTCCGCGGGCTGCGCAGGACCCCGGGTGTCCGACCGGGCGCTGTCGGCTTGCGGAGCTGACCGCCCTGGACGTGGTCCTGGCTCGACCGTTCCGCAGCGCCACGAAGTTTATGTTCCTTTGGGTGTTTTCTGCTGCCGAACAAGTCCTGAGTAGTCAGCAGAATCCTGAAAGATGAAGAGCTTTGGCCTCTGCCCTGGCAGATGACAGATCAGGTAGTGGGGTTTTGGTATTAGAATGCCGTAGAAAAGATGCTTTTAAGACGACAGCAACAAACCCCGGTGTTTTCTTTTTCAGGGAAAGAAAAGCACAAGAAGAAACTTTTACAGGCGTTGTTAATTTGATTACGGCGCCGATCCCCGAAATCACAGGAAAGGTATTTTCACTCGATTGCATTGTTACAGCTTTCAAAGAGATTAGAGAAAAATTGTAGAACATCCATTTCATAGCTGATTGAAAAGAAATTCTTATTAGGATATAACTTAGAGAATGGCTGTCTCTAGATTATATGCCACGCAACAGTTCAAATATGGTTTGTTTTAAAATCTTACGGGAAAGAAGCCTTATGTGCCAAGGAGTTTACTTACTAGAGTGCCATTGGTTAGTTTGCAGGACTAGCTATGATGACCTATGAAAAAAGAATGGCACAAAACTTTAGCATAAAGTGAAAACAAGAAATAGAATGGTATGAATTGTGTGCGTTTTATGTGCTAAGGAAGAGTGTAATAACTATAAAATTTGTATTTCTCCTGTATAAAGGAGTCCTAGAATAATAGTAGAAAAGCAATAATTATGGGAAAGGGAGAAGTGGTCTGAAGAGGAAAGGGTGGAAAAATGAATGGTTTATGCGTTATCTGTAATATTTTTTATTTTATGGATTCATAAACAACAAAAATTGCTTAAAATAGTTTATATACTATTGGTTTCCTATTTTGTAGGGAATTTTGATCATCTTTAGTATGATTTCTCCTAATATTTGAAAGAATAAACTGGAGAAAAGTTTAGGATGGATTTACTAGCTTTTTCCACTTTAAGAAGTTGAAGTCACAGAATTCAAAACCACAAACGTTATTTGCCTTGCTGATAGTTAGCATTTGGTGTCTCAATTGGATCATGCTGCTTGATAGTGTTGTGTCTCCCTTTAATTTTTTTCAGACTATAGTTTATAATTTCCCTTTTGTTGATCCCTACCTCACAGTTTGAACACTGTATTTACAATGATAATAAACTAGATTGTTATGCTTAATGTGCTTTTCTGGTGGGAATCTATTATTTCCTTTAAGGAAGTCAGGCATGAACCCCAGTGAAGAGTGAGTGAGTGAGTGTGTGTGTGTGTGTGTGTGTGTGTGTGTGAGAGAGAGAGAGAGACAGAGAGAGAGACAGAGACAGAGAGAGAGTTAAATTGAGATTTCTTATGGAAAATAAATTCAGAATCAAATGTAAGAAATTAAGCATTTTTATGATTACAGATTGTGTAAACATATATTAATGATTTTTCTAGTTTTGCCAGCCTAACCTTTTTAGCAGGGTTAAGGTTGAAAGGGTGCTGTGAGATTGGGTACAATTTTAGGGAGGGAATACTCAAAAACTCCCTCTAGTGACAATAATATTGAATGGAAACTAGTTGCTATAGACACTTTTATTAATATTATTAGTATTTTTTAATTTTGTAGGACAGGATATTTGTGTTGCTTCTGTTCGTTGCAGGTGTATAATAGTCACTCTGCTACACAGTGGCATTTATTTTTCTTTTGAACGTCATTTATGTGGATCTTTCCAATCTTTTATCCAGATAAGACCCATAAGTGAAGGCTGTTTCCCATATTTGTTGAGACAGAGTCTCATGCTGTTTGTAACCAGGCTGTCCTGGAACTTACTGTGTACTCCAGGCTGGCCTTGAATTCAGGATAGTCCTCCTGCAGCTTCCGGAGCACTAACATTTTAGGTGTGAGCCATCACCCTGGATATACATTTCTACTTTTATGCTTTTCTCCAGAAATAAGTATTAACAAGTGGATGAGCAGCTTTCCACATCTTTTTCTGTGGAGTTTTAAGTGTGTCCATTTTAGCCTTAAAAACTGAATTGTTGAACTTTTTGTGGTAGCTTTTTGTGGGGGTATTGAGTATGTAGTCCAGACTGGTCAGGAGGTAGAGAGCCTCCTGCTTCACTCAGTCTTTTGAATGAATGTTCAGGTTGTGCTTGGCCAATTATTGAGTTCTTCTTGAATGGTTGTTTGTTCTGCCAGTTTGCCTCTACTGTACCCCACCTCCAGGGTGGAAATGACTTAGAATGTGTCACAAAGTTTCAACATGTGATATAACCCTCAGGGCATGATCTCTTATTCCCCCCTCCTCAGTATTGAGGTACTAGTTGGTATGGAATCATTTGCAGTTTGGAGGGAGGTCAAACTGATGTGAATTCAGCACAGAGACTTAAATTTTAACATTTCCTATAGCACTCTTAGGAGCTCAAATTGTAGGGTCTTAAGACTAGGCATCTCAGCTTTCTAAGTAGTTCAGAAAGGGGAGAACAGAAGAACAGAAAGCTCAGCCTCTCTTCTTGGTGTGCAGGAGCCAACTGCAATTGGACAGCAGGTGTCCCTGAGATGGGTGCTATCCATCTGTGTGTATCACTTAGTTAAGTTTTCCCACTGCAGAGAGCCCTTTGCTGCTTTATTGGATGGTTATAAATCACTTACACTATGGTTTGAAGGTAATTTGTCAGCGAACTGCTGTCTGTTGTCAAACATGTCAGGCAGGGTTTTGTTACTAATAAAAGAAAGTTGTTCTTTTCTCACTCTTCCCTCAGAGCACTACAGTAAATGCTTCCTCTCCCTGTTTGTACTCATGATGCTGTGATAGGCAAACTATTTATTTGCTCTGAATGTTTTAATAAAACATTATAGGGAGCAAATTAATTTTTAGAAGTTTCACATTTTATAGCAAAACTGTCTTTGACTGTTTTCTTAAAGTACTTGTAGCACATGAAGCATCTTTATTGAAGTGAGACAGTACATCTAACTTGAGCTTTAAATTGTTGGTAGAATTTAACAGATTATCAACCTAACACTCTTAAGTATAAGAACAATTTAATTCATACTAATTGGCTTAATTACATAATGGTATTTATAAGTTGCTTTACAACCATTTGTAAGACTCCTGATATATATAATTTCCATGGATAAAGAAATTGTTTTCTCCATGCTTTATTCTGCAAATATTAAATTACCTAGACAACAGTTATAATTCTGAGTTATCATGTTGGTTGTATAATTCACAAAGAAATACTTTTGCTTATGGTTTTAAGTCTGTCCTGTCACTCTACAAAGAGAAATCATTTATAAAGAGTGAATTTTTGTTACTACTTTTGATTTTTTTAAAGGACTATTTTAAAATTTTATTTTGTGTGTGTGGATATTTTATCTGCATGTATTTATGTGTACCATATGAGTAGGGGCTCTCTTTGGGGCCAGAAGAGTGTCAGGTCCCTTGGACAGACAGTTGTGAGCTGCCCTGTGGGTACTGGGAATTGAACCCATGTTCTCTAGAAGAGCAGCCAGTGCTCTTAACCATTGAGCCATCTCTCCATTTCCAAAAAGATTTTTTTTATTTCTTTTAAAAAACTACTCTGTATTTTACTTAATGTTTTTGGACAAAATCCCCCTCCCCTTTTTTTAATGGTGAGTATTGGAAACAAAAGTGGATACCACCATATGCAACAAATGCTCTGCTTTTTAAAAGAGTTCTTGCTTAACCTGATACTTAATTTTTAATTTTTCAGTATAAATAGTAGAAAATAAAAGCACAAGTTGATTTCCTTTTTGCTGTTGTTGGTGTTTGGATTTTTTTTGAGAGTCTTGTATCTGAATCCTCTTGTTCCAACTTCTCTGGCACTGGAATTACAGGGGTGTGCCACACCTGGCTTCAAAGGTTTTTGTATTTAGGAAGTGAGAAGCTCAAATAAAGTTGTACCTGTGGGCGGAGCCACTTGCCTAGCTAAGAATTTATCATTTATATTGAAATACAGCTTAATGTTCAGTAGTTGACTTACTTTCTTACTTTTCAACCCTCAGTTACAAATGCAGCACATCCCAGTATAGAGTTTTGGGAAGAATAGAAAGAACAACAAAAAGAATAGTTTAAGAATTTAAAACACTACTGAAAATCCTGCCACCCAAAGAAGTGACTGTTACGCTTCTGGAATACCTTTTCCTGTATTTTGCTTAAGCATTATATGAGTTTATGCACGCTTATAGGTCCATGACTGTATAGAGCTGTAACGTTCATAGTATAAACAGTTCTATGTCTTCAATAGCAACTCTCCAACATGTTTTCGTGTCATTATTTCTCTGCAATGCTACTGTTTTAATATATTCATTCTCATCCATGTTTTGGTATAATTTACTTTTACTGTTAGGTGCATGAGTTTTTATTTTTTAAGTTAATAAGGGACTTACAGCTTGAAATTTTTGATAGTCTTCAGAATTAGAATACAAGTAAAATGATACTGAGTTTGTGTTGATAACCAAATTCAACAGATTTTGCTGGAAAGATATGCCAATCTATGTAATCGATTAATAATTAATAATGATCAATAATGGAGTAAACTCAGGACTTTCGTAGTGTATTTTCTTTCTAAATGTATGTTTTGCTTTGCAATGTACTTTACATTGCATTTCGTGAGCATAGATGAGTTGGGGATTTGGTTTTCTTTTTTGGTGAGGGTGAGCCTAGGGAGGGCATTTCACATGCTAGGTAAGTGCTCTGCTAGAGCTGCTTCCCCAGCTCTCCTGGCTCTCTTTGTGTTTGTTTGGTTTTCTGTTAGTTACTTCTGCCATGTTTTTCAAGGAAGTCATTGGCAGAAAGTTGATTGTAATATTTTTATCCTTCTAGTATCTGTAGAAAACACAGTGATTCTAATATCGTAACCTCTAGAGCTCTGGTTCTCAACCTTCCTAATGCTACGACCCTTTAATACAGTTTCTCATGTTGTGGTGACCCCAACCATAAAACTTTTTTCTTTGCTACTTCATAACCCTCCTGTTATGAATTGTAAGCATCTGTGCTTTCTGATGGTCTTAGGGGACCCTATGAAAGGGTCAGTCAACCCCCAAAGGGGCCGTGACCCACAGGGTGAGAACCATTCTCTAGCGGTTTACTGTCATTCATAGCCATGATCTGGTCTTTTGAGTTTTCTTTTTTACTTAGCAACCTAGCTAGACATTTATTAATTTACTGGGATTCGCATTGCCAACCTCTAGTGTAACTGATTTCCTCTTATTTTCCTGTTTTTAAAGGCCTTCTCCGCTGCTTATTATTTGCTTTCTTTAGGTATACTTTATTTTCTCTAATCTCTCAAGCTAGAAGCTAAGGTTA